GGTACAGTAATTAGACATGTCTTTTGGCATCTAGAAATATAATTCTATTGTAAGTCTTTTCCCTAACTGTCGACATTGTCAGCCAGGATGCATTTTGGATTTATTTACATTTCTGGGTAAATGAATTATCCTGATCATAATGAGAGTGAAAAATCTCATTTTAGCTTAGGTGTTTTGTTTTCTGTTCTATAAGGATCTCTGTATTAGGTTATACCCCCTATTGCTTCTAAGTCTATTTTTTCCTTTACATGTTAGCATTACTCCTGTGTGATACCTTAGTAATCACCTAATAACAAGATAGAGCAGAGACATAGAGCCCATTTGAAGTTGGTATGAATATCCATCTGGATGTAGAACTCACCGCAAAAATAATGTTTAGGTGAAGTGTCTGTTTTATTAATTGTTATGACAGGGAATACAGATTATAGTCTATGTCATGCACATTTCATTACCTGTTGTCTTTTAACTTAAAAGAAGGAATAAATGTGTTGCCCAGGTGTCAAGTAACTCCCTCCTTCAAACATTTCACACTTTTCTCTCTTTGAAAGACTCAGATAGGGGTGTGTGTGTGAGAGAGTATTTCTTAATTGATTTGTTAAGGGGTAGTAAATATGCCAACCATTATATGGTGTCTTTCACCCAAAGACGATAAATACTGAATTTTACTAAAGGAAGGTTTACCATAATGTTAAACTACCTCAATTTACTGGATAAAAAGATAGGTAAACTTACTACATACATAATTTCTTTTTAAGTAGTAGATCGTCTGTGGTTACTGTTCTTCTGAGCACAGATGTCTGTCTTCACTTTTATGTACTTTGTGGAATCATTCCAGGACTTTCCATCTTATATGACTGTCACAGAATTAATGGTTAATGGCTCTTCTTAGGAAGATTGTGGCTTATGTCTGTATGCCTGGGTGAGACTATTTTAGTAGGTTTGGTAGCAGAGTGAAAAATACAAATATGAAAATAGCTTCAAATTTCTATCATGCTGTATCCTATCAGTTTGACCTCTTACTGTTTGGAGTTTATCTAGTTTTCTCAAGTCTTGAGTATTTCCTAAGGTTTCATTGGTTTTGTTGTAAGAGACAAACAGTGAAGCTTACATAGTTAATTCTTCATTTCACTATGGTTACATGAATGAAAAAGACCTTTATCATAAGTATAATATTTTGATAGGTTATGGACCCAAATGGAATGTAAGAATAAATGGTTATACTTAAGGTAACTTTTAATACAAATTGAATACGTTATGCTAATGATACTGAATAGTCTGCCTTTATACCTTAAACATCTTTTTAAAACTGAGTACCAGGATAGATCTAATGGTAAACAGACCTTTTCTTTAAAATCTTAAAATTCTTTAAATTTAAGATTTGTACAGTTACTTGATTTCTGGCCATTTATTACCTTTGTGACGCTATTCTAGGGGGCTTTAACTGTCAAGATTATGATAAATGGATGATATGACTTGGGATTTTATTGGAAATGACTGTTTTGGCCTTGATCTTTTCCATTCTCCATGTTGGACAAGATTTTTGTTGTTTTTTTAACTTTTCATTCTTTTTTCCCAAAGTAGCTACTGCAGTTGAGTTTTATGTAAAATTTATCCTTCAGCATTTTGTAAATATTTATTTTACAGAGCCATAAGTGTGATCCTGGGTGACAGGTGGAAGAAAATGAAGAATGAAGAGAGAAGGATGTACACGTTAGAAGCAAAGGCTTTGGCTGAAGAACAGAAACGCTTAAATCCTGACTGTTGGAAAAGGAAAAGAACCAATTCAGTACGTTTCAATAAGTAGCTGTTTAAAATTATCTCCGTAGGTGTCCTGGCATGTTGGAACAATTGTTACAACCTTTAAAAGGTTGTAATGATTCTCTTTTATAGCATTTTCATACTTTAGAGCCTAATAGTGTTTTTCCATCCTCATGTAAGAAAGATTGCGTTCTTTTCATCAGATGCCATACTCTGTTTGCATGGGAAGTAGATTCTCAGGCAAACTTTAAGTAAAGAATGTTGTGGTGAAATAATAAATTTGGAATGTATTATTTCTAGTAGGTGAAAGATGGACATTATTAGCCCATTAATATCAGAGTATAAAATGTCTTTTAATTTTTGGTGAGCTGTCTCAGTTACCTTTGTTTCCTTATTTGGTGAGAGACTGAGGATGGAAGTGTGGGAATGTATTAACCTTTATGGGGACTTCTACCATGGGCACAGAATTTCTAGATTAAGAAGCCCATGGAGAAGAAATAGAAATGCCCAGGAAGGGTGGTCAACAAGTTTGTACCAAAATCTATTTTGGACAGACTTAGGGTTCTTAGAACTTTTCCACTATTAGACTATCATCTTGTTCAATATTTGTAGATTAATTACAGGAAAATTTCACTTGGTAGAATAGAAGTGAAGGTATTAGTAGTTTTAGAGTAAGAGGGCTGGCCAAGGATGTTAATGTATGTATGCCTGTGTTTTAGTAACATGCAGGTGATACTTGTTTTAAAATTTGCAAGAATTTGTTTTAAAGTAGTAGTCAGATTTAGAGGGTGGCTGAACTGGATTTTGGCAGTTCTTTGGTAATTTAGAATTTCACACGGTAGGACTTTGCCTGTATCACCTTTCTTTTCTGTTCATCCTAGTCCATGTCTGATTTTCATAAGTTTTCTGGATGCTTGAACCATCGGATACCAGCAAACTTTGAAATCAGCTTTTACTAGTAAAGTTATAAACGTCATCTTACACATTTTAGCTTTCACATATAGAATTACCTATGTATTGATTTGTAAACATTCACTGAGTTTAATTTTATTTCCACAGGGCTCACAACAACATTAAACCAGGATGCATATGTTCTTAAGTCTATATTTGCATAAACATTGACTCTTGATGGAAAGACTTAAGAAGATCAAGGTCTCACCATTTGTCCTGAATTCGTGTGACCATAAGATACTGATAACATTGAGTCTTGAAATGATTTAATAATATGAGTGAGGATTTGCTTTCTCCATTAGAGCATTAAGCTAAAACTATCAATATTGTAAACCAAATTGCCTTACTTTTCTTCAAAACTTCATATATGTCTATCAGGTAATATAGGCTTGAAATTGATATCCTGTGGTGCTAAAAGTACAGTAGAAAGAGAGAAGAAGTGTATACATGTTTTATTTTAAATTGTACGAAAGGGGAACTTAAAAATATGTAACTGCTGTTTATATATTGGCTCCTTACTGCTTATTAATCTGTATTGTACACATGATGGGATGCAGCAGAGCTGGGAGTCGGCCTTTCCTCGAGCAGCCACCACATGGCTCAGCATCTGTGCCAAACACAGGCACTCCTAGTGTGGCTGGTGCCAAGGGGCTACCAGAACATGTGGCAGGCGGCTGGTGTCGGTGTCCCAGTGTAAGAGCCACCTGCTGCAGTTCCCATGGCATGCTGAGTTTATGCACCAGGTGGCAGCAGCCACCCGTGATTTCCAGTGGAGACCTAGCCCAGGCCAACATCAAGTTAGTTAATAGCATTGGGATGTAGTCACTGTAATGGTGCTATTAACAGTCAACACCATTGTATTTTTTAACTTTGTGTTCTATATCTCCTCAGCCACGTATCTTAAATATATTTTGTCATCGTATCTTTATGGTGGGGGCAGACTTTGCACTTATTGCAGTGCAACACTTGCACTTTACTTTTCATCCAACTGTCTAAAATGAGAGCAAATACGTTGGCAATACAGCTGCTTTTGCTCTGAGCTACAATCATGGCTTTTCATGTTACTTACCAAGTGGTGTTTCTGGTTAGGAATCACAGCTGTAAAATTGATTTCAGTTCATTACACTTCCTCATAATGTTGCCCCTAAATTTTGCACACTATATTCTTGTATATTATTTCAAATAAAATGGAAAAAAAAAGTTGTTTACCTCTGATTTCTTGACTGAATTTTATGTCAGAATAACAGGTTCAGGAGGTAGGAGGTTTGCCTTATGCATTCTCACAGTTAAATTTTTGTTTGTATAATGAGGAGACTGCTGTTGGGATTAAAAAAATTAGAAACAAAAATGTTAACAGTGGGGCAAGGGCAATAAAGCAAATAAGGACTTAGATCATTTATTGATAGAGAATCTTTGTATAATAAAAATTTTTATTTTTCACCTGGTAACTTGTTAGAAGGTTAAACCATCCCCAGGTCTGCTTTTAATCAAATGACAAAGTGTAAAGAAAGCCTTGCTTTATTTAAAGATTCAGGGAAACACATTCTCCATCTCAGCTTTGGGATATGCTAGTGGTTCCTAAACTTTGTTGCATATTGGAATCACTATGGGGATATGTTTTTCAGAAACTATTGATGCCTGGGTCCCTCTCCCATACATGTTAATTAGTATGGGAGTACAAGTCGGGCATCAGGATTTTTAAGCACTCCCTTGTATTGTGGGCGTGCAACCATATTTGGGAACCGCTAAGCTACATAGTAGGGAAGAGGGCAGCTTGGGGGAAGCAGGCCACACATTTCTATCCCTTTAAAAGCTGTGGGGACTTGGCATGGAT